GAGAAAAAGGTTATACTGTAAAATATGATCATCACTTAATGAGATAAAAAGTCATCATCGTCATTGTGAAATATTTTGTAATATTGTGAGAGGTCTTATTGTAAATTATAACTTCATTAGATAAAAGGTCATGTCTAAAAGCTGAAAATAATGAGATATTAAGTCACACTGGGAGATAAAAACAAACAAAAAATAGTTGCAATTGTGAATCGTTAAGTCATCGGGAGACATACAGTCAAACTGTGAGATATTAAAACATGCCATTTAAATTAAAATTTACATATAATAAAGTTGCAATTGTGAGATATAAAAGTGACAATTATGCACAATAAAGATACCTTTTTATGTACTTATTTTTTTAGTCTAAGATGGAAATAGTCTTTTACCGAATGAGACTTTTAGTGCATTTTTAGTCAGTTCTCCGAGCAAATGCTTGGTAATTGCTTTGCACAAAAGCTCTTTGAACTTTTTACTACTGTCAAGTGATTTAAAGTGGTAATCAAATGAATTACATGGAATTCTGATTAATCACATGAACTACAAAGAATCAAATACATTAATATTTGCTGAAAAAAGCCCACAGAGTAAGAAAATGAAAATACATTGTATTATTGTGCCAGAGAAAAGCACTGAATAGTCAGAGATGTAGCCTTGCTGGGGAGTGTTTGATTTCTTGGATCCTTTTTCTCTCAGTCTTCATACAGCCACCTCACCAGCCGTGGAGAAGCACGTTTATTACTGACTGCAAATCAGCGATGTCAGAAAAAGTGGCGACCCGTGTAAGATAGCGTTAATGGTTATCCATCGGCCGAGAGATTCATGGTGCAGGAGCACAGCACAGCAGCATGGGCTTTAATAAATACTGTGCATCTTGTGAACGCAGACACTCGTTTAGAGGAACCAGACCCCAGGGAGTCATTGGATCACTTATTGAGCTGCCAAACGAGCATGTGGATGAAATTATCATGTTTGTACTATTGTACCTTTAACGCATATAAACAGAACAATTCATAATGCTGTCATAAAGACCATATGACCGCGGTGCTAACTTGCAAAATAAAGAAGGGAATGTGCCTGTAAGACTCAGAATCGATTTATTTAATTCAAATATTAACAGCCAGGGGACAAATCTGATCTCAAGCCAGTTATAAATCATATGAGAGTCCATCAGGAACTCTCATTCGAGGTAAAACTCAATTCTTTGCATTGTGGCTTTGACCAGCACATCATACGCAGCTCATTAAACTTAACTGTCACTGGGGAACATTTAACAATAAGACAAAAATGGAGAGAGAGTGTGGGCGAAGAGAAAGAGAGAATTCTGTTATGCAGTATGAGCAAAGTGATTCTTGGAAACCCCCACAGAATTCCAGCGAGTCTCTGCTACTGACTTCAAACACGCTTTTAACACCTGTCAGTATGCTGAATGGATCTGCTATTTCTTATTGAACCTAAAAAAAAAAAACTAAACCTAAATTAAACATAGAAATACGCATCTGTAAATGGTTTAGGGCATTGTTGCTATTGTTAACTAAAACTATTAAAAATCATTTTTAGTAATTAACAAAAATGTAAATATTAGAAGAAAACTCTTGATCAAAATGAGAAATGTTGGCATCTAACTGATATAAATAAGTTTTTGTATTAAAATTACTAAAACTGAAAGTGAAAAAATAGAAGCTAAATAGAAAAAAAAAAACGAATAAAAATGACATATCTATTTATCCATCCATCTATCCATCTAACCATCCACCCATGCATCATCGGCCTTGAAAATACAGTTGTTACCTTAAATAGATATTTCATTGCAGCCTTAAATTCACTGGCGCATCAAAAATAAATAAATAAACTAAAAAATAAAACAAAATAGTCAAATTAAATTATTTAACAAAAAACTACTAAATTTAAATTTAAAGTACTAAAATAATTAAAAGTGAAATAAAAATAGAAGCTAAATTAAAATATAAATCTATCTATCTATCTATCTATCTATCTATCTATCTATCTATCTATCTATCTATCTATCTATCTATCTATCTATCTATCTATCAATTCAAATATTAACAGCCAGGGGACAAATCTGATCTCAAGCCAGTTATAAATCATATGAGAGTCCATCAGGAACTCTCATTCGAGGTAAAACTCAATTCTTTGCATTGTGGCTTTGACCAGCACATCATACGCAGCTCATTAAACTTAACTGTCACTGGGGAACATTTAACAATAAGACAAAAATGGAGAGAGAGTGTGGGCGAAGAGAAAGAGAGAATTCTGTTATGCAGTATGAGCAAAGTGATTCTTGGAAACCCCCACAGAATTCCAGCGAGTCTCTGTTACTGACTTCAAACACGCTTTTAACACCTGTCAGTATGCTGAATGGATCTGCTATTTCTTATTGAACCTAAAAAAAAAAAACTAAACCTAAATTAAACATAGAAATACGCATCTGTAAATGGTTTAGGGCATTGTTGCTATTGTTAACTAAAACGATTAAAAATCATTTTTAGTAATTAACAAAAATGTAAATATTAGAAGAAAACTCTTGATCAAAACGAGAAATGTTGGCATCTAACTGATATAAATAAGTTTTTGTATTAAAATTACTAAAACTGAAAGTGAAAAAATAGAAGCTAAATAGAAAAAAAAAACGAATAAAAATGACATATCTATTTATCCATCCATCTATCCATCTAACCATCCACCCATGCATCATCGGCCTTGAAAATACAGTTGTTACCTTAAATAGATATTTCATTGCAGCCTTAAATTCACTGGCGCATCAAAAATAAATAAATAAACTAAAAAATAAAACAAAATAGTCAAATTAAATTATTTAACAAAAAACTACTAAATTTAAATTTAAAGTACTAAAATAATTAAAAGTGAAATAAAAATAGAAGCTAAATTAAAATATAAATCTATCTATCTATCTATCTATCTATCTATCTATCTATCTATCTAACAACTAGTTCATTTAAATGTTCTCACATCTAGTGCATTTTTCAAATGAACTGACAAAGCAATTTTTACACCTTCTGTTACAATGACTTGAACTAGAAACAAAACACAAAACACAAAACAAAACAACTAGTTCATTTAAATGTTCTCACATCTAGTGCATTTTTCAAATGAACTGTCAAAGCAATTTTTACACCTTCTGTTACAATGACTTGAACTAGAAAACATAAACCCATGTTTCTCACGGCTCTTTCATGACACATCTGCCTGTGCTGTCATAACCAATGGGATCGGCAGGAGTCTTGGGGGAAGGTTAAACACTTTTTTTCCCAGCCTTATGATGTAAAGGATGTTACTGAGAGTATGTGAGGGTATTACAGAAAACTCAACCCAACAAAGTCAACCGTGTCCTCGAGACAGATGCCGCAGTTTGATTGTAGACGCACATGAAACAATTCTAATCTCACAAGACACAAATATTCACAGTTTGACCCAAAAAACGTGCATCTGTGCTTTCCGCCTATGCTCATTTGTCATTCCTGGGTGATGTATGACGCACCGAGGCTGGAAACGCTTAATAAATGCTTAGCAAAAATAGATTTCTTCCCGACGCCAGCAGTGCAGTGCAACTCCTGAGAGAGCTGAACTACACTGATGCTGTTTTCAGTTCACAGCCTCTCTTTAGCAAAGATCACACTGAGTTTGCCCTTTGACCTCTGCTATTGTCTGTGGGACATTAGGCAAGTTCTCACAAGACAGTTTTGAGTCAATTAGTATTGATATGGTGCTACTAAAATAAAGACCACTGTCACCTGGGGGTGCCGATTTGCCAAAAACATTATAATACATATTACAAAGTATTTCATAAGACACATGCTAACCTACTGAACTGAAGAGCAAAATCTCATGACTTTTCAGATGAACAGATAAAAATGGAGTGCAAATACACAGAAAGTGCCATTTTACTTCAGTCACAGGCCATTACTGAGATGCAAAAGTGCTTTGCAGTTTGATTCTGCGGGTTTGTGTATGTGCGTTTCATAGACACATTTTAGCCTGAGGTCTGCATTTAAGACTCAAATTGTACAACCTTTCAGTTGCTTGGCCAACAATCCCGTCAGCATTTCTTTTGTTCAACTGTCATCTTATACATGAGCCAGATGACAAGAGGATTTATTAAGGTCCTTTTCTTTCATAGCAGCCAACTGTTGGCAGAACGCTATTGATTTGTCCTTTCTTGGAAAAGCATCCACTTACTGTACTTACTGTTAATCTCGATTAAGAGACAATAGGACTGTAGGAGACAGTCGGGGAATGATGGGAATACACCGGTAGAGAAGCTAGTACAGTTTATACAGCGACAATACTGAAACTCGCAGATCATTTGTTTATATAATAATTTAAAAAGACATAAAATATAAATGTGTACTACAACGTGAATGAATACTAAATACGACAAAAAAAAAAAGATTACATACTTTGAATTAATGTATTGAATGCATCTACACTACCATTTAAACGTTTTTTTTTTCAAAAGAAATTAATACTTTTATTCAAAAAGGATGCATTAAATTTGATAAAATGTTGTGACAGCAAAGGCATTTATACTGTAACATTACAAAACATTCATATTTCAAATAAATTCTGTCCTTTTAACTTTCTATTCATCAAAGAATCCTGAAACAAAAATGTTCCAAATTCCAAATTCAGCTTTGCCATCACATATATTTTAAAATATAACACCAATTTTAAATTGTAATAATATTTCACAGTATTAAAGTATTTTAACTGTATAAATGCAGTCTATGCAAACATAAGAGATTTCTTTAAAAAACATTTTCGAACGGCAGTGTGTATTCTGGCAAAAAGAAACGGCAAATTAGAGAGGAGGATGGCATTTGATTGAAATGCAAAAAAAACTATTACAGCTTTTTGTACGTGACCTGTATGGGCAAATCTAAAATCGATGAAACCCCAATAATACACTGTGTGCAAAATATATACTTGTGAAATATAATAACCCTGCTGTGGATAGAGTTTACCTTTACTCTGCTCTTTTCCAGAGCGTTCTCCAGTTCCTGTTTGGCAGCCACTGTTTCCTGTTGATGGGTTTGACGCATATGTTCAATGGCTGATGCGTGAAGATGGTTCAGCTCGGAACGCAGGGATGCTGAGAGGAGAACAAGAGAAAGAGAGAGACATAGGGAATGAAAAACAAGACTATTCCAGGGAGATGATCTGCTGTTTGGAGATGAATTAAAAACCACTCATCTCCAACTCTCCCTAAAGCATAAATGTCACAGGTGGAAATGGAAGTGACACTCATTCCTCCACCTGCAATTTCCTGTCAGCGCTCCCTCATTATGCTCCTTTCCAGTTTCTTCCAATGATACCTTATTTCAAAGAGACTGGGCTATAATTAGAGCTGTAGAACTCCACTGGTTTTGCTTCAGGACTCTGAGGTTTTCCATTCGACATCTAGTACCAACACTGCTTAGTGTACAAAGTAAATGCAAACGTACTTTAAATCAAACATTTATTAATATTACCAACAAAATGCTAAATCATTAACATGGCACAGGACAAATAAGGAAACCTTTTTATTTCCAATTGTCTCTTGAAACTGCAGTCAACAAGTCATTTAACAAAATGATGCAAATTTTAAATAGTTTACTGTATTATTTCTTATTTTAGTTTTATTTTTCCCAGCTCAATGAAACCCAGTCATGACAGATATATGGCACAATTTTTGTGAGTTTTGGGCATTTTTCAAGCTAAGGTGAGCATAAAATTGCAGCGTAACCGAGCAACTTTAATAAAACTTTAATAAAGCTGAATAAATTAAATTTGAATTTGAACTTTGTAAATCATGCAGTGTTGGACCGCATCATATTTCCAGATTTGCCACTTGAAATTGACACAGAAAACATCATTTTAATTTCCTGAAACATTGGACAAACCAAGTCTCATATACAAAAATATAGTTGCTTGTTTCATTAAATCAGTTTAGTTATTTGTATTATGCAATAATAATAATAATAATAATAAAAAATTAAGAAGCACCCATCAAAAATTGTTGTTCTTTATTTTTTGTAGAATAAAAGAATTCTTCTCTTTTGTTTTGATTTTTATAAACCTAACATACTGATCCAACCTGATTATATATTGATATCATATTAGAATGAGCTTTGGAAATGCATTTAAATCTAAACAGGCATTTCAATTGGGATTTCTTTAAGCAGTGGCAAATATTCAGCTTTGTTCTTTTTTCATCATGACAGCTACTCTCTTGCTGCCACATAAGCCATCACTATGGCAACCCATATAGATATTACAGATATTGACTCCATTGTCTCAGCAAATGGATCTGATTTCATCACTTGCAAAATGATAGCGCAGACATTCAGTCCTAAAGACTGCATTTGACCAAGAGTAAATAATAAACATGTTCTGAAGGGTTTTTGCAGTGTGTGTTTGTGGCTGTTTTACCCAGCATGGCCTTGCCCTCATCCTCCAGTTCGAAGCGGAGGGTCTGCAGCTCTTGCTCTGACTGCTGTTTCAGAGTCTCGATGTTCTGCCTGTGAGCCTCCCGCAGAGTCTGAAGCTCCATGTGGTGCTGCTGCCGTAGCCGTTCCTCAAGCTCCTACACACACACAACACAACACATGGATTAGTTCATTAGAGTAGACAAATGTACATGACTCATACAATCTACATAAACTGTATATTTGACTCATGAAAATATTATAATATGTTCATGTCTCTCATATCACTCATGCACCAATTAGAATAAAAAAAAAAACACACTTTTTTTTTCATGTGTTGCCCTTCCAGGACAATTTGTGTATACCAGGGGGGATTGAGATTTTTTTCTTGCCCATTTTTGCTGCTACACACAACAGAAAAATAAATAATGGAGGAACTAGACTCAAGGAGAAACTTCAAATATGATGTTTTATCTTGCCCTTCGGAGCCTTTGCACAAAACAGTTTGCTACTGCTTGCAGTAAAAATGGCAGAGAAATAATTTGAATATATATGGTAAGCATAAACCTTTGGATACAGGACTAGATGCTCAAAAGTCAAAAGACAAAAACATTACCTGGAAGAACAACAAACCGGTAAGAAAAAAAAAAGATGCATGAGAACTTGTAGTTAAATATGTTAGCTGACACTTAACAGGGGAAAAGAAAATATTATTTAATATATAAAAAACATATACTAAATATTTACTTAGACTTTTACATATCATTTTTATATATAAAACATATGTGACCCTGGACCACAAAACCAGTCATAAGGGTAAATTTTTTTGAAATTGAGATTTATAGACAATCTCAAAGCTGAATAAATAAGCTTTCCATTGATGTATGGTTTGTTAGGATCGGACAATATTTGGCCGAGATACAACTATTTGAATATCTAGAATATTGAATATCTAATATATCTAGAAAAAAAAAATCTAAATATTGAGAAAATCGCCTTTAAAGTTGTCCAAATGAAGTTTTTAGCAATGCATATTACTAATCAAAAATTAAGTTGATATATTTACGGTAGGAAATTTACTAAATATCTTCATGGAACATGAATGTCCTAATGATTTTTGGCATAAAAGAAAAATCTATCATTTTGACCCATACAATGTATTTTTGGCTATTGCTACAATCATACCCCAGCGACTTAAAACTGGTTTTGTGGTCCAGGGTCACATATACTAACATATACTATATACTTACAATACCATAAATAAGTTAAAATAGTTGTTTAACACTTCAAACCTATTAATACTAAAATAAAAAAGTATATTAGTACCTAAATTACCTCCATCTGTTTGCTCAATGACAGAGAGGAAAGGCTTGTAGTAAAAAAACAAATCTATAATTAATTACAAAAGTATTATTATATTAAATATAAAATATAATTCATTATACACAAACACTATATGCTTATAGTATAAACAAGTTACAATACTTAGAACTTATTAATACTCAACAACAACAAAAACTAAAAAAACACTACACTAAATTCTAAAATAAAATAAAATAAAGACCTCCATCAGGTTGCTTAACCACAGAAAGAACAGGCTTCCTCAAACTTAAACCATTAACACTGACCAGTTTAATCAACAAAAAACTGTTAGCTTAGACAGTAAGACCAACTTGCTCAACAACTTGCTCAACCAATGTCAAAATTGGTCAAATTTACCATATTCACCTAACCTACATTCTTCTGGTGAACTGGATGGCTAGACCAGAACCAAACCAAAAAACCTGCATTCTAAGCAGGTCTTTTCAACAAGGTGAATGAGAATTGCAACAGGTGCGTAAATAACATATTTCTCAAAAATCACAGGAATTATGACTCTATCAGAAGGCACTTAAGCATCTCTGCAAGCTTGTTAAGGATCTTGGATGGTTGCTGTCTAACGCCTAGCTAGAGGAATGCAAATTATAGCACCCTGAATTAGATTAAGAGAATGGAGCTGCTTGAGCGCTGGGGATACACTGACATAATGAGGGCTAAGGCAGAGCACCTGCCTCCACTGAAAGCCTCTTTGGAGTCAGTGATATCCAGCAGAGTGGGGTCGGATGGGACAGGAAGTGAGTTAGGGAATGACAGGGGACACAAATTAGACCAAATGATTCATCAGTAAACACAGACTGCACCAAGCCAGTTGGTAGGAGTGTGCTGGAAACTGAGCCGTTTTAATGCAGAGATCAAAATAAAACAGCTGATGGGGAAGATCAACAGGGCTGAACTGAGACACGGAAAAACATACCATGTGGTCTTGAAGAGATTTGTTAAATATGACTCATTTAAAACCATACAGTCCTGAGCTTTTCTCAAAATATTGCATATTTTAATAATTTTGAATCATATTTGAATCATTTTAATCATATTTATAGATATTGACATCAATTAAAAATGTAAATTGTGAACTTAGCACATACACATATTGGGTAATATATATATATATATATATATATATGTGTGTGTGTGTGTGTGTGTGTGTGTGTGTGTGCGTAATTACACTTAAAACAGGATTCACACAAAGATTGGAAATTAGGTCACACAGGTTTGTTTTTGTGAAAAGTGGGGACATCCCATAGGCGTAATGGTTTTTATGCTGTACAGACCATATATTCTATTGCCCTACCCCTAAACCTACCCCTCACAGGAAACTTTGTGCTATTGATCTATATAATACATAATATATAAAATACACTATAAAAAAGTTGCTTCCTTAATTTTAAGTACAATCAACTTAGCTGTGTAAGTGATTTCAACTTAAATTACATTCAATTGACTAAAAACATGAGTTGAATCTGGTATAACATGTTTTAAAAAGTTGAAATTGCTTAACTTTTTTTTATGAGTTAAAGTAATGTAAAAACAAGAAATGATGGTGGTGAAGAAGAGGGAATGCAAGGAAGAATTGTTGAAAGCTGGATTTGTGAAAGCATGTGATCACTACAGGTTCAAAACATCTTTCCCAATTTCTGTTCCAAAATTATGAGATGGTTACAGGAAGGCATTAATTTCACCCAATATTTATGTGCTACTATCTTCTATCAGCTAAAGTTGTGCTAGGCAGTAGCCAGAAAGGCAGCTCAACAAGTTTAAAAACAGAGCAATAATGTTGGCTAATGATACCCAAAAATATTCAGTTTTGCTTATACTTTTTAACCAATGAATCATTCAAGTTCCATATTGTGTCAAGTGTGTTACTGACACATCTTTTGCTAGCTAAAGAAACATCATGCATCAAACGGATGTGGTGTCAGTTGTGCAAGGTCAAGTTTTCTCCTCCTGCAGCCCGATGGCTCAGTAAAACTGAAAAGGTCAGGTCATTTCTGTCATTCAGACAACTATCAGGGACACGGCAGCCTGAACTGGATAGCACACACATGCTTGAGAAAAACATTCACAGAAGAAATCTTTAATCTGAATGACTACAGCAGTCACACACACACACACACAGAGTTGTGATGTTTTTTTCCACAATTCTCTTCCCACTCTAATGTCATAGTGCCATTTTCACCTCCTCAAGTAGCTACGAGAAATGAATCTTGAGTAGTACACTTCGCTTCTTCTCTGCCAATAAAGCTTGTGCATTAATTAGTGAGTTATTTTAGGATTCCACACTCACGCTGTTTTCAGATTAATGAGAGAATCCCCCGCAAACAGTACAGAAAACAACCCACTATAAATGCAAAGGTTTCATTATATCATATAATGTTTTATTTTATTAGGTTACTATATTATGTTACACTGACTATGTCTTCTACATTAAAGCAATAAGCCAGTGCATTATATCAGTGAATTTATGTTTTAACATTAAAACTATTAAAACATTTCTAATAATTGAAATAAAGCTAAAATAATATATATAAATATTAGTGATTTTGGGGTAAATGTACCACAGTATAGTGATTTGACAATGGTTAAGTTGTGATTTTACAATATACATAATATATATATCAGTGGTGAACTGTGACTTTTTTAACCGGGTATGCTGAGTGATAAGATCAGATAAGCTCTATATGTCTCTGCATCAGCTAAATGATTTTTTTATTCACACTGAATAGGAGTTAAAATTCCCACCCGGGTGACACTAATAACAGACCATGCAAAATACCAAAAAATATTTAAAATATTGCAAAGTAATGTTGCAACCTTTGAAAGAATAATAAAATCAGAGGAGGACTTTAACTGTAAGCGGCACGAGCATATGCAAAACAAAGGGAACAATATGATGTTTGTTATTATTAAAATTTTATATAGCCCACGTTTTTATTTAAAAAAAAAAATATTTACCGCTTAGGCAATAACGTTGACAATAACGTCGTATATCTTCAACATACGTTGTCTATGACCAAAAATGTAAAAAGATATGTTTTCTGTGGACTTTTAAAATTTGCTTTGCTTGAGAAAACAAAAATATACAGTTACAGTGTTTTTTTTCTTTTGATTTAGTCGAGTTGGTTTTGCATCAAACACAATGTGATTTTCGGCAATCGAGATCTGGCAGCAACAGCACATTTTCCCGCTTGGGCTAGCGCTTCGCGAACAGCTTACCTCGTGCATTAAATCTGCCGCAGACCTGCAAATCACTGAGAATGCACATCAATCCTGACGAGTCATAGCAACAGAGCGGAGGCGAGAAAGCTGCGGAGAATCCGCTCGCCCGGAAGCAACCGCAACTGACGTAGAGTTAAAGACAATTACTGCCGTTTGGCAAATAAATGATTGTACAGGCTTATTCCTAACTCTTTAAGCTTTAAGTTACATTTCAAATGACAAGGGATCAACTTATAATCATGTTTAGGCTATATGAATAATCCCGTAAATTTATTCTCTCAAATGGCCTGGGTATGCGGAGCATTCACGCTCTAGAGGAGATCTGCATGGAGGAATGGGCCAAAATACCAGCAACAGTGTGTGACAACCTTGTGAAGACTTACAGAAAACGTTTGACTTCTGTCATTGCCAACAAAGGGTATATAACAAAGTATTGAGATGAAATTTTGTTATTGACCAAATACTTATTTTCCACCATAATTTGCAAATAAATTCTTTGAAAATCCTACAATGTGATTTTCTGGATTTTTTTTTCTCATTTTGTCTCTCATAGTTGAGGTAT